TAATTATCAGCGTCTTCTTGGGCAACTAGCATTTAAATCCCTGGCTATTTGACGAAAGAAGAAGCATATGATTGGAGATGACGACTTAAATTAAGATGACTTAGATGAGCAACTGATGACTTAGACATTGTGAATAAAGAAGCTTTGGGTGAATTATAAAGAATAGTTGCGTAGTGAGGAAGAGAATATGAGATTATGTTAATTTATTTACGAAGGATATGAGCAGATAAGTTGAGTAGATCTTTTTATCACGACCTAGTTTAATTTCGTATAAAGTTTTCTTTTTATTAACAATCTTATCTTTCAGTATAAAAATAATTGATCTTATCTTGAATATACACAACCTATTTTGTTTCTTCATTAGATCTTTGTATTCACATATTTTCAAGAAACTAACCATCAGTTGAGATCCTGTACTTTTACAAAACACTAAAGTATACTTTTTTACAGTCCATGGGAAGGGAACTACATACCCTGGTCACCCTAAGTCTAGTGTTTTTCTTTCTTTCTCTCTTTCTTTTAGAGTAAAGTGCTCCCCCCCCCACCTCTCTCTCCCAGGTACTTGAACACTTGACATCCGAAAGGAGAGATTCCTGGCCAGGGCTAAATATATTTCGCTATCTCTCTCTCTCTCTCCATTCGCGTGCTCGGCTGAATGATACTGTAAAGCTGACATTTGTTCTCGACTCCTTGAAGCACTTGTGACAAGGCGATGGTCAATTACTGTGTTTTGATATTATCGGCTATTGCTATGGCTATTATTCAGAGCTAAATAAACATTAATATCATCATCATTATCGTTATCAGTAATATTATCAACATCGTTTCTTTATTTGTGAAGGTAGGCCTATAAGCTATAATAATTTCGCTGGGCTAACAACCCTGTGCTTCTAAACCTTCGCAGCTTTCAACCTATATGGATTCTCGACCTTAAAAAATCACATCAATACACTGACATTCCACAAGAAAACGACTCCCTAAAACAACACAACAACCCAATCAATCATTACTAACAACCACAACAACCCCACACACCAATCGACATCGAAAAAGACCCAACGACCAATTCCACAACAACCGCCACCCCGATATAACAAAAACCCACCAAAACAAACCTCGTTAAACCTTCGTTAAACCTCAAACCTCAACCACGAGAGGCCCCAACACTTCTTCAGGCAGCCTCCGTCCAGAATTCCTAGCCAAACAAATACCCAGTACAGTCAATCGGCCATTGTGTCTGTGGTGTAGCAATGACCCACTAAAGCTGTATATATTATCCGACGCCAAGCCAGTTAGCTTTCCTTAAGATGCTCTGTTTAATTTTCTTTATTCCACTTTCCTTGTTTATTTTCATTACTATCCTTATCATTATTATCATTACGGTTATCCTTATTTTTATCATTGCCATTATAATTGTTATTATTATTGTTGTTATTATCATTGTCATTATCTTCATTGTTTTGTTATTGTTGCTATCATTATCATTATCAATATTATCAACAATATTATCATTACTATTTTTATAATCTCATTATTATAATCTATTTTATCATTACTACTACTATTATTATTACTATTAGTATTACTATTAACATTATCATTATTACCATCACCATTACTATAATAATCATATTATTCTCGTTCTCAAAGTAGGACTCTTAAGAATCATAGAATCACTCATTCACGGCTGATCAAGTGAATGGAAAATAGCACCATGCCTTAGTAATAATTATTATGCAATCGTTTTACTATAAGTGTTACAATTCAATGTTCTGGCAATGGAGGAAAAAACACACAGATCGTTATCGGTTTCATCATCACTTAATCAGCTATTGGCATATTTCCCGCAGTTATTATATCATTATATTGTTTCAAATGTGGAACACCACTCTCACTTCTTTCATTATTGGTATTATCTAACCCCACGTTTCGTCATTATCGACATAATTAAATTTTCAGCATACAGTCACCATCTTTCCCAAACCCATATCATTAGTACGATAATGACTAATTACCACCAAATAATAAACAATGAACTAGAGTGTCCTATCATAACCACCCTGTTAATAAACACAAAAATTACGTTCGGAATATACACCACCTGGTATATCAACCAGGTGAAACGGGGTCTACACAGGAATCCATATATACGAAAGTTTACATCAATTTACAGATTCACAGGGGGAAAGTTGGCCTGTGGTACTTATGCATACTAACGACTCCTGTGGAATGAGAGTTCACAGGCCACCTACACCTCCAGGCCAACACCCACCACCCACCACAGGGAGTGTCTGTAACCTGAACAACATAGGCGACGAATTTAGCAAAGAAATAATTGTATTTTGTTGTATTCTGTATCCTGTGAAATGCCTTCAGATACTTGCACTTGACAGCCTGTAGCTTGTATAATACGTACGTTTGTCATTCTGGTATTTTTTATGGTATTTGGGTGGATGGGTGTGTACAAACGGAATTATATTTCTCTCAATACACGAATAGTATGATGAAATGATTGACATAATCTTTATAACCTATCTTTATTTGTTTATTTTTCATTATTCATTGGGGATGGGGATCATGCGAATGTGCATTAATCTAGCAACAACAAAAAACACACACACACACACACACACACACACACACACACACACACGCACACGCACACGCACACACACACACACACACACGCATTTCATATTATCTATCCAGTCACAGCACGCCCAAATAATTAAGACAAAGCCAAAGTCAATCATATTGTGCACACGAATCCGCCAGCCCATGTAAAGTCCCAGTGACGATTGGGCGTCAGCTGGTAACTCGAGCAGTGAGTCTCGTGTCCGAGGCGCGTGTGTTCATTCAGGGCGGGGGGCGCGGAGGGAGGGGGAGAGAGAGGGAGAGGAGGGAGGGAGAAAGAGGAGGGAAGGAGGGAAGAAGGAGAGAGGGAGGGAGGAGAGGAGAGAGAGGGAGAGGAGAGGAGAGGGAGAGGGAGAGGGAGGAGAGAGAGAGAGAGAGAGAGAGAGAGAGAGAGAGAGAAGAGAGAGAGAGAAAGAGAAAGAGAAAGAGAGAAAGAGAGAGAAAAAAGAGAAAGAGGAAAGAGAAAGAGAGAGAAAGAGAAAGAGAAAGAGAGAGAGAAAGAGAAAAAGAGAGCGAGAGAGAGAGGAGCTAAGGGCGGGGCGGGCGGGTGTCGCTAGCCTTTACGCCTCCAAAACCTCAGTCTTCTCGAGTTCCAGAAATGCGAGTGAGAGAGGGGAGGCAGAGCAAGGCGCTGGTCTCAAGAAATGGCATTATCATAATTCCAAGTAAAATGGCACATCCGGGTCACCATTCTGCCCGAGACACACGAGGTTCGAGAAGAAAAGTAGATTATCCTTTTTTTTCTTATCTCTGATAGATGTACGGAGGTGTGTGCACGCTGATAAGGTTTTCATGTGGACCTATATTGAAATTAATAAATATTGCAAATAGACGTACACAAAAAAACACGCACACGCACGTACGCACACACACACGCAAGCAAACAGACAGACAGACAGACACACACACACACACACACACACACACACACACACACACACACACGCACCACGCACACGCAGACAGACACACACACACACACACACACACACACACACACGCACGCACACGCAGACAGACAGACACACACACACACACACACTCACATATATATAATATATTCACTAAGAGAAATATACGATAGTAGCAAAGACTCTTCCACTTCAAAACTCAAGAAGACACTTGACAATGAACTCTCATGCCCTCTCTTCTTCTCCCTCTACTTCTTCTTCTTCCTATTATTATCCTTATTATCATTATCATCATTATTATCCTCACCATTCCTATTACCAGTCTTTCTTCTTCTTCTTCTTCTTCTTCTTCCTATCATTATCATTATAATCATTACAATAATTTTCGTCATCACCATTACTATTATTAGTCTTTCTTTCTGCTCCTCCTCCTCCTTCTTCTTCTTCCTCCTCCCTGTCACTCTCCTACCCTCCCTCCTTCTCTCTCTCTCTTATCTCTCTCTCTCTCTCTCTCTCTCTCTCTCTCTCTCTCTCTCTCTCTCTCTCTCTCTCTCTCTCTCTCTCTCTCTCTCTCTCTCTCTCTCTCTCTCTCTCTCTCTCTCTCCCTCTCTCCCTCTCTCCCTCCAACACACAAACACACGACGCTTATCAAGCCACGTAAATCCTTGAATCTTTTCCTAATAAATTGATTCAACTAAAGGACAATACTAGGAAAAAAGAAGAGGAAAATAAGTAAAATAAAAATAAAAAGAAACTGAGAAGTAAAAAATGAAAATGAGAAGGAAAAGAAAAGGAAAAGAAAAAAAAGAATAGGAAATGGGGAAAAGGAAAAAGAAAAAAAATGAAATTAAAATAAAAATACAAAGAAAAAAAATGGAAAAAAATATAAAAACAAGGAAAAGAAAAAAGAAGACAAGGCAAAGAAAATAAAAAAGAAAAAGATAAAACAAAACAAAGAAACGAAAAGAAAAGTACTAACAACAAAAATATAAATCACAAATTTCCAAAACGACCAGGAGAGCCACCCGCCGTCCACCACCACCCCCCCACCACCCCCACCCCCACTGTTAGCGCCGCGCCCGTCGGATCAGCACCGGCTGTTCCCCGTAGCAGCCATTAGCCAGGAACAGCGAGGTATTAATAGTACTCGAGCGGCAGATTGCGTGGCCGGGAGAAGGGGCGGCATCTGCAGTAGCGTGTGTGTGGCGTTGTCTCTCGTGGCCGGGCGTGGATGTTGGTTTTGTTGTGTGTGTGTGCACACACACACGTACCTTGTGTTGTGTGTGTGTGTGTGTGTGTGTGTGTGTGTGTGTGTGTGTGTGTGTGTGTGTGTGTGTGTGTGTGTGTGTGTGTGTGTGTGTGGTGTGTGTGAGAAAGAGAGAGAGAGAGAGAGAGAGAGAGAGAGAGAGACAGAGAGAGAGCGAGAGAGAGGCGTCTACTGCCCCGAGCAAGTCCTTACCTTGTGCTGTCGCGACTTTCGATGCTGCTGACGGCGTGCAGCGGCGTCTTGGCGCGCACCTCCTGCTGCGGGTCGTGGTCGAGCAGCACCTCCCTCTGGGCGCCGCGGTCGCGCCGGCTGCTGCGGGACCGCTTGGACTCGGACCGGACGATGCCGTAGGCCTTCTCGGGGGTCCCCGGCAGGGAGTCTCCGCTCTCGCTCAGGCACGTGCCCTCGAGGTCAACCTTGTCCTCGGAGTCGGTGCGGTCGAGCAGGGCCTCGGGAGGGTCCTGGTCGAGGTCCTCTGTGTCGTCGAGCGTGTCGTTGAGGTCGTGCGTGAGCTCGAGCTCGTCGCCGCTCTTGTTGGCGTCCGCCTCGGCCTCGGCGCCGTGGTGGCCGTTCGCCAGGCGCGCCGGGCTCTTCCTCCTGCTGGAGCGCCGAGAGCTACGCTCCGCGCTCGAGCTGTCCACGCCCTTGTCCTTTAGCGTGGGCGCCTCCCGCCGCGGGCTGGGCGTGAGGGGCGAGGGCGGCGTGTCCCGCGAGCTCCGCGTGGAGTGGTGGCGCCGCGGGCTGGGGGAGGTGCGGTTGGGCGTGGAGGAGCGGGAGCGCGACCGGTCACGGGGGAGCTCGGAGGTGAGGTTGGGGACGCTGGTCACGTAGATCGGGGAGTTGTCGAGGACGCCGTTGACGTCGTCTCGCGGCTGCTGCTGCTGCTGCTGCTCCTTGGCGACGGGGAGGCCCGTGGAGCGGCCGCCGGGGCTCGGCTGCCCGCCGCTGCTGTTGACGCTCACCAAACTCTTGTGGGGCTCCAACTGCAAGGCAAAGGCAGGGGGTTAGTGCGGTGCCCTGAGGGAAATCACGAGAGGCTGAACTGCACAGCCTAATGCACACGTGAAAAAATAATGAAGACATAACACTACTAATAAAATCAGTGACCCGAACATTTTCCGATCTAAAGCAAGAAACCCTCTTCAGATCAGCCAATTAAAATATTCCTCCTCTCTTGAAATTTATCAGACGTACTACTTTCACAGTCCTCAATATTTATCCTTCATGCAATGGTTGACAAATGAATATTATGAAAACTACAATACATGATCAATAAAGTAAATAACCCACGAGTACACGAGTTCGAAACCTTTTTCACTGTTTTAGTAAATCCATCATAAAGGTTGTTTTATACTATCACCGAATAATATGCAATAAACCTTTAATTCCAACAATGATATTCAAGACCTTCTGACATCATACATCCACTTTCCGAAGTCCTTGCCAAACATGTTCGGACTAATTGTATCGAGAACCAATTATCTCCATTCGGGTGTTTCGAGGCTTCAGTCAAACGCTTCTTGATTTCATAGCGTGGCTCATAACCCTCGCTCGTTGTTTCGGAATGTGCTTCGATACAATGAACCCTTTTTTATCATTTAAATAATAAAGAGATTGTGCCTCCTTGGAATGGTTTTCTTTACAAAGTCTGTTCGAATTCGAGGATTTATAAATTAAAGAAAAATATGGGTCGTTGAATGCAATTTTTGATTTGAAAATACGATTAATAAATTTGAAGAAATAAATGTTATCTTTACTCTTCACAACAAAATTATAATCAAACGATCACATGAAATACGGTCTAGAATGTACTTATTACAACACCAAGCCTATAATCAAATCAGCCCATTTATGTAAACTAAAAATGAAAACATTCAACCTACACGACAAGACCAAGAATTCTGGCCAGCACTGCACGATCCGCCGCCGTTTTCAGGGCCAAAAAAATGCTATGCACTCAAAGAAATTAAAAGGTAGACACGAGCCTCTCCTTTCCGGTGTCGGCGAAAGAAGCACTAGGGTGACGGAAGCGGCCAGTAACCGGCGCTGCTACGAAGCCGTTTGAACGCCTTGCACACACGCGCACACAGCCGAAGGTACATACATGTATACATACGTACATTCATGCATGCATACATACATGTGCAGATAGACATGCAAACACCCACCCACCCACACAGACAAACGCACACACGTACGCAAGCGCGGGCACACAGACACACACACACACACACACGCACACGCACACGCACACGCACACACACACACGCACACACACACACACACACACACGCACACACACACACACACACACACACACACACACACACACACACACACACCACACCACCACCCCCCCCCCCCACACGCACATATCCCCAACCATACATAACCAGTTAATTCCTTTAAACTCAAACGCAGAACCACACAACTATACCTCAAAACACAGAAACCATTTACAAGCGACCGTAAGACCCATAATCCGATAATTAACCCAACCACCGTAAATACCGTTAAAAACCCAGATAACAATTTGCAGAATCTCATTTACCCTAATGATCCCTCTTTTGGGTTTTTGCAACATCATACGGTTGCAAGAGCCAATCGGGACATGTAGGCCTATGCAGATTTTATGTAGGCCTATACAGTTCTTGTTTTTCTCAACCGCAACTGCTGTAATTAGTAACGCTGAGAAAGCTTTAGTACTATCGTCATTTATATCACTATAATTATTATCAGTATTGAGACTACTATTCTGACTTATGGTATTTAGTCACACTGATAAAGTTTATTATTGTCATCTTTATCTGTATTATCATCATTATCGTCATTTATATCAATATAATTATTATCAGTATTGAGACTACTATTCTGACTTATGGTATTTAGTAACACTAAAAAGTTTTATTATTGTCATCTTCATCTGTATTATTATCATTATCACCCCTCCCAATACTATTATTACTATATACACTAATACTATATTCACTATTACTATCATAGCTATATTCGCCAAAACTATTATCATCATTATATACACTAATACTGTCATTAATACTATATTCACTAATGTCACTGCTACACATTCCCTAATACTATCACTGTCATAAATACTACTATTATTGCTAATATTGTGATCTCATGACAATCTGTTGTTTGTGAAGGCGTGTTCATAGAGCGTTGTTCATGTGTGCAGCTCTAATGAACAGCCAATCGCATACAGTGTCGACTCTGTGGTATGGTGTTTTGCTGACGTGCAAAGTGCAATCAGCAGCTGTGAATTGGTAGTCAGCAATGGTATCTGCATCCTCCTTTTTTTTTTTTTTTTTTTTTTTTTTTTTAATTCGTTTTTCTCTCTCTCTCTCATTTTCTCTCTATTTCTTCTTCCCTCTCTCTTCCATCTCTCTCTCTCTCTTTTCCCCCACTCCTTCCTTATCCCTTACCCTCTCCTTTCATCCCCTATTCCCTCTCTCTCCCTACCCTCCCTCCCTCCCTCCCTCCCACCCTCTCCCTCTCCCCACCTCCCCCTAACCCCTACCCTCCACCCTCTCCCTCTCCCCCTCCTTCCTTCCCCCTCCCTCCCTCCATCCTCCCCCTCAACCCCCTCCCCTCAACCAACCCACCCTACCCACCCGAAACATGTACACCGCTCCTATGTGCTCATGTGCGCGTGTGTGAGCCGTCCACACCGCTCTCCGTGTGCGCGCGTGGTTTTAAGCCCTCCTGGACCCTTTCATATTCTCCCCGTCAACAGGTGAGACACGGCCGAGCAGGTGAGACACGGCCGAGGAATTACTTTGAGCAGGATAAGGTATTTTTCCATTCGGGTTAAATCCCCTTCCACGTCGCGCTGGGAAGACTGGGGAGAGGGGAAGGGGGGAGGGAAAGGTGAAGGGAGAGGGAAGGGGAAGGAGGGTGAGGGGAAAAGGGAAGGGTGAGGGAGAGGGGAGGGGGAAAGGGAAGGGGAAGGGAAGGGAGAGGGAAAAGGGAGGGTGAGGGAGAGGAAGGAGGAGGGAAAGGGAAGGGGAAAAGGGAAAGATTTAGTTTCAATTCAATTTTCTTACAATGGAGGTGGAGAAAGGGGAGGAGAGTGGGTATAATAAATAAAAGGAAGACGACGAGAATAAGGAGAGGGTGATAATAAATAATAGGCAGAGGAGGAGGAGGAGGAGGAGGAGAGGGAGAATAAGATATAAAAATGTAGAGGAGAGAAGAAGAAGAAGACGAGGTAGAAAAATTAGGAGGGGAGGAGGGAGGGGTAAGGAAGAACGAGAGGAAGAAGAAGATAACACGAAGGAAAAAGAGAAAGAGAGGAAATAACACAGATGGCAAAGGGAAGACAAAGAGAAGAAAGAGGAATAGGCACACAGAGGGAGAAAAAGAATGGGGAATGGAAGAAAAAATAAACTAGTCAATGCAATCATAATAATAATAGATATCATGATTAGCAATACAATTATCATCAATTAACAAAAGTATTTCTTGCAACAACATCACCATCATTGCTAAAAATATAATTCCTGTTGTCATTTTTTTAACGAAAATAGATAAAATGAAAATAGAAATACTTTTTTTTACGAAAATAAATAAAATGAAAACAGAAATATTTAGCAAAGACGAAAAACGTTAGAAAAACAGGAAACAGGGGGAAGGGAGGAAGGATCGAAAGAAAAAGGAAATAGCATAGAAGGAGGGGGGGGGGGGGTAGAAAGGGGGGATAAGCGAAAAAGAGAGAGATGGATGGGAAGGAGGGGAGGGAGAGAGGGGGGGAGGGAGAAGGGAGGGAAATGAGGAAGGAAAAGGGGGATACGGAAATGAGAAAGGGGTAGATAAGAGAGGAAATGAGAATAGGAAGAGAGGGGAGACTGTGAGAAAAACAACAACAAGTGACGGAGTAAGGAAAAGTGGGAATAAAAGAGAAGAGAAGAGAGAAATAGAGAGATAAGAGAGGAGAACAGAGGAGAGAAGAGAGAAGAAGAGAAAGGAGAAGAAAAAGAGCGAGAAAGAGAAGAAAAATAGACAGAAGAGAGAAGAGAAGAGAAGAAAAGCGAAAAGAGAAAAAAAAAAATAGAAACAGACAAAGCAGAGAAGAAAACGAAACAGCAAAGAGAAAGAGAGAAAGCCGGAAAAAAAAACAAGATAGAAGAGACGAGAAGAGAAGAGAACGAAACAGCGAAAGAGAAGACAAAAAAAAAAAGTCAAAACGAAGAAAAAGAAGAAGAAGAAGAATAGAGAGAAGAGAGAGAGAGAAGAGAGAAAGAGAATAGAGAGATAGAGAGATAAGAGAGAGAAGAGAGAGAGAGAAGAGAGAGAGAGAGAGAGAGAAGAGAGAGAAGAGAGAGAGAGGAGAAGAGAGAGAAGAGAGAGAGAGAGAGATAGAGAGAGAGAGAGACGAGAGGAGCAGAGGGGGATAGGGAGAACCAAGCACCTGAGTGGCAGCCCGATCCCACTGTTGACCGCGCGAGGAGAGTGCGCTAACAAAACAACCCAGAAAATGCCTCCCCCTTCTCCACCACGCCAGCCTCCGTCATCCACCACGCCCCTTCATCACCACGCACCCCTGTCATCCATCCCACGCGCCCCTGTCATCCACCACGCGCCCCTGTCATCCACCACGCCAGCCTCCGTCATCCACCACGCGCCCCTGTCATCCACCACGCGCCCTGTCATCCACCACACCAGCCTCCGTCATCCACCATGCGCCCCTTCATCCACCACGCCAGCCTCCGTCATCCACCACGCGCCCTCTCATCCACCACGCGCCCCTGTCATCCACCACGCCCACGTCATCCACCACGCGCCCCTGTCATCCACCACGCATCATCCACCACGCATCATCACCACGCCACCTCCGCCACGCCAGTCATCCACCACGCCAGCCTCCGTCATCCACACGCGCACCCTGTCATCCGCTCGCCCAGGAAACCATACATGAATTATGTAAGGCTACATACTTGATCTATATTGGGTCTGGGACGTTCCT